CATGTTAGTAAAGTGATCATCAAAATGAATGTCCCTGCTTGCTTTTAAGAATAAGTTTTCATGCGTTACTGTATAGGCCTATACAAATTGAACGGGGGGAGTACTATAATGTTTCTAAAGACATGATAATAATATGTTACTTCATTTTATTTCATATATAATTACTCCAAATTTTCCCATTTCACTCTTCAGAGTTAATGAGTTCCTTTTTAAAATATACGAATTCGTGAATTTGTTCCATCGTATGTATTACCTCTCTTCCCCGTTCACGGCAACCGCGTTCGTATGGTACGTGTACATGTACATTAAACTAACAAGAAAGCAATAACATTAGTTTTGTGATAATAACGTCCCTTATAAGTATTTGTTTTCGGCTCGTGTAGATCACTGATTTATAGCAAAAACATTGCCTTGCACGTTGGTGACGATGAACCTTTTTATTATTAGATGTCATGATGTTTGCAGCGCCTACTGTATTCTTTAAGCAATTCAAGAGTAAACTTTCTCTTTATCTTGAAAAAAACCCTTCTAGATTTGTTGAATTTTCTTGCAGAAATCGAAGCCTCCCCTTCAGTTCATTTTATCCTATCACAAAGCGTAATGTTGCATTATACAGTTTCATATTACATTCTACGGAAGAGATCTTAACTTTAACTGGTTACAGCAACTGCTTAACGGACTCTCAGCGTTATGTTTTAGGCATCTTTACGTGATTTTTATTGAACCGTTTATTTCATTAAAATATTTCAAATCAAATTATGAATTACTATAAAAATAGAAAAGAAAAGGAATAATGTGTTGAAAGTAATAACTTCTTTCAAATTATGAATTGCTATAAAAGGTAAATAAAAATAGAAAATAATGAATAATGCGTTGAAAGTAATAACTCAAATTGCATTTCTCCCTTGGAATTCCAGTTTAAAATGATTACAGTAATTAATGTTGCAATGTTGCATTGAATTCTACGGCCGGATCTTACATGCTCTTCAACTGCGCTGGTGGTGAACGACTGCGAAGCGGACGCTCAGCGCATTGAGCGCTGGCGATCTACGACCGCATCGCGCGCGAATAGCGAGCTACCAACGAACGCTCAGCGCACGAACTACGCCCGCTTCCCGAACGAGTGTACGGCGGATGGCGATGTGTGAGCTTTGTTACTGAGAGTACTGTAGCTATCCCACTGTGTAAATTATCAAACAAGGGTATCAGGGGTATAGAACAGATCAATGAATAGTTGGCAATGACTGGAAGATGCGTTTGATCTGCTTAAAATAGGTACCGAGGAATGATTAAATTTATTTATTTTAGACATTATAATTTAACTGACCTGGCTACCCTAAATACAGGTTACCATGGCAACCTTATTTCAAAATTAATTTAAGATATAGCTTAAATATTTTAGCATTGTATGTGTAATTACATAACCTACATGTTCTGAAAAAATGAAAGGGATGTGTGAAAAAATCACATACGTACCTTAAAGTACCTTAAAGTACGGTTTTGAATCTTGGAACTTTATGAGGTATGTACCTAGAACTCGAGGTATGGAGTACATCTGTTATGTACATGGTCGGTTTCGGATAAAGAGTTTATCCCTCGGGAATATGTGTATCTCTCTCGGTTCCTGTAGTCTCTCGGGAGATACACATATTTCCCTTGGAATAAACCCTGTATTCAAAACCCCCCAGTACATATAAAACGGCTTTAGCTTACCATACTCCAAAATATACGTTTTTCTTCTCTGGTAACTTTTTAATGTCACAATATTATGACTTGCTAATTTTATCATGTTTTCTTATCAACCAGTATTAGTGAGACCTAGAGCTACGGGATATTTTACTTTTTTTGGAACAAATACTGTAAATACTACAAATAATGTAAAACTGTCAATTTGTTTTCTCCGCTATTGGAGATCTCGATCAGGTGCTATTTTGAACCTAAATCCTAAAGCTGACAAATCCAAGGACGGGTATAATTTTCGACACGATGAAAGATTTTATTTCCATTTCGATTTAAATTGTTTTAGACATGTTCTTATATCTCCTAAGAGTAACTTTATCTGTTTCACCATTTACATGTAAATAGTCAGGACTTACGCGGAACTCACAAGGGCTAGCACTAGGAAAACACAAGGAAAGTAAGGAAAAATAAAAATAGGCATAGTGCAATGTAAAAAGATAGCTGGTAATGAAATAAGCTAATTAAACAAATTAAGCGAAATACACAGAATAAAATTTAATGTTGCTGATTTGTACCAACTGATAAAGATAATAGAATCCTTAAAGGCCCCGCGTAGAGTTTGAAAATATGTTATTGTCATTCATTTACTATATAATTTCCGTTACTCTAAAAGTTATTCCAGAGATTTTTCAAAAAAAATATTTTGAAAATTGTTTCTCAAATATTCAAATTTTTCGCCTTTTTCAATTAAAAGTTGAAATTGGAATCATCAAAAATCCACTTTATAGTGCAAAACACAAGACATTTTAACACCAATGCAAAGATTGAACAAATTACACACTATTTTAATAATGAAATGGCATCTCCAATGTACAACTTTAATGCCTTGCATATTATATTATTTTGAAAGCTAAGTGACATTATAGTGACATCATTCAGGTGGCAAAAACAAAATTGAAGTAATATTTATATCAATCTTTTCTAAATATGCTAGACTTCAAACCAAGCGGAGTATATCGTCACAATATCCTCCGCACATTGGGTTTTCCGGAGTATATCGTCACGATATCCTCCGCCCGGAGTATATCGTTACGATATCCTCCGGATATTCATTTTGCCAATAAATATCAAATTTATTTTTTCATGTTATTATACATTTAGTACACTAAGTGTAGGATAATTGCTTATAGCAGGGTGTAAAAAGAAAGAAAATATTCTGGATTTTGAAGCCCTGTGATCGGAGGATGTTTCCATGCATGGATGAGTCTATTCCTCGTTTTATGAACAGATTGTCTTGTTTGGTCGGCAAAGATACATGGGGAATTTTACACGGGACCTTTAAATCATATGTATGGTTTTGAAAGGAGTGGATATACACGTTTTTTAACGAGGAATGAGTTGTATTTTGGGTTGTCTCCATATGATATCTACCTAAATGCCCAACGGGACTAAATATCACTTTGATATTCAGGACAAAATATGTGGGTACTATTTTACATTGAAACGAATAATGTTCTCCAGGAACATCATCAAAAATTAATAGTGAAACTTATGGCGGGTTAAAACCTCGAAATTGATCTCCTTTGCCCACGGCATTTTTTTAATATGTAGTTGGTACATGGACAAGAGGTCCGAGTCAAAGAAAATATCAATTCCTCAATCCTAAAAGTAAGCAATCGAAGGCCTGCAGTGTAATATTATATGGAAATATGTACATTTTTAGCTGCAAATCGTTTGCAAATTTCGCTCGCTTGTGGTTTGGGTAACAAATGCGCAACCTCTTGTATTTTATATTTCTCCAGCATGTTATTTTCGAAAAATATATTACCTTTGAAGCTCACATAAATTACTAAATTACTATTAAGGTTGACTGCATTAAAAATAATTTATCCGAAATATAAAACTTTTTTATGTATGTAATTAAAGCTTGAATTTTTATACAACAAACACCTTAGATGTTTTATTAATGGCTAATGCTTAACGTTTGGTGCACTTAACACTATCACTGGTCCCACTATTAAAGCCAGTATTTCTGAGCAATCTTTTTTATTCATGTATATTTCATGAAGGTTGGGAAAGACCACATTGACACGTGGGAATGGTTCAATTATAAGAATACGACAGAGTAACAATTTAGCAACTTAAAAGGCAGCCTATGAAAAATGTGTAAGAGGGCCGGGTGCTTCGAATCACTTATGAAAATTAAATATTGCATAATTATACACTCGAGTTGTGTTCCAAAATATGTACATACAGAGTGTCTCAAAAATGTACGTCGTCGGATAAACCAATCATTTTTTCAGACATTTTTGCATTGTCGTGTTGCTGACGCATGTAATTAATTAAGTTTTCTCCCCAATATACAGTTTTTAATTCAGTCTTACCTTTTTAATGTTTTAACCCTTTACTTTCATTTTATATTAAGATGACAACCCACATCCGTTATACTACATCGTTCATCTCATTTGAAAATGTTTCGGATGGAATGTTTTGAATTTCTCTTTGTATGTTGGCTTCACATTGTTCTAAGTCTTTTGGCTTGGGATGAGCTTAGATATGCTCCTTCAAATAGCCATAGAGAAAGAAGTTCGAGGGTGAAGACGGCTGTTCAATCACAGAGACCGAGGTCAATTATCGTCAAATGATTTAGGAGTTGATACTTAGATTCTACCTTTCAGATGAGAACATTGTGGTTTCAAAAAGATTGTGCCCCTCCACATACAGCAAATAAGGGCCACACACGAACTCATGAAAGCAGTTTCAAACGTCTGATCTCTTGGTATGAAGACATTGTTAGGGTCCCCCTATTCAATAGATTTGACATTCAAGACTTTTTCTCCATCCGGGATAACTTGAACAACCATGTTTATGCTCATCCCAAGTCAAGAGACCAATATCCGAAGAGAAATTCAAAACATTCCACCAGAAACACTTTCAAATGTGATGGACAATGTAGCAGTAAAGATTCAAGCTGACGTCGAAATATGAGGAGGTTACATTGAACATGTGGTATAAAGAGAATTAAAGCATTGAATAAGCAAGACTAAACTAAAAGTTTTGTAATTTTAGGTACGTTTTTGGGACACACATATCAGAATTAAGTCATGGATACAAATTATATTTCTCAAAACCATACCATGGACGTAGCAAGGCGTGAAAAATGCGAGGCAACTGCAAGGCAACGCAACTGCTTTAAAACCAGCCTTACAGAAAATATATATTCAGACATTATAAATTAAAACTGTTAAAATGAAATCCAAATAAATAGATCATCATATTGATCATTGTAAACAAGCGACACGTTAACTTCTATTTTATGTAGGGTACGTAGGAACGTTACACAACCAGAGTCATTATGTCATTGTCATTAATGCCCATGATGTTGAACTCCCACAAATACAGGAGAGTGACGCTCTATCCCATGACGGTGCTATACTGAAATGTAAGTTTGTCATTGTAATTGATGCCCATGATATTGAACAGGAGAGTGACGCCCCTTCCCATAACAGTGCTATACTGAAATGTAAGTTTGTCATTGTCATCAATGCCTATGATATTGAACTTCCACAGATATAGGAGAGTAACGACCTTTCCCATGACGGTGCTATACTGAAATGTAAGTTTGTCATTGTAATTGATGCCCATGATATTGAACAGGAGAGTGACGCCCCTTCCCATAACAGTGCTATACTGAAATGTGAGTTTGTCATTGTCATCAATGCCCGTGATGTTGAACTTCCACAAATACAGGAGAGTGACCATCAATTCATTGACGGTGCTATACTTTAATGTAAGTTTGTCATTGTAATTGATGCCCATGATATTGAACAGGAGAGTGACGCCCCTTCCCATAACAGTGCTATACTGAAATGTAAGTTTGTTATTGTCATCAATGCCTATGATATTGAACTTCCACAGATATAGGAGAGTAACGACCTTTCCCATGACAGTGCTATACTGAAATGTAAGTTTGTCATTGTAATTGATGCCCATGATATTGAACAGGAGAGTGACGCCCCTTCCCATAACAGTGCTATACTGAAATGTAAGTTTGTCATTGTCATCAATGCCTATGATATTGAACTTCCACAGATATAGGAGAGTAACGACCTTTCCCATGACGGTGCTATACTGAAATGTAAGTTTGTCATTGTAATTGATGCCCATGATATTGAACAGGAGAGTGACGCCCCTTCCCATAACAGTGCTATACTGAAATGTAAGTTTGTCATTGTCATCAATGCCCGTGATGTTGAACTTCCACAAATACAGGAGAGTGACCATCAATTCGTTGACGGTGCTATACTTTAATGTAAGTTTTTATCACACTTTCTTAAATGTTAAAAAATCTGTTTATTTGATGGAAATGGAATCTCCTAGCAACGACATTCACGTTACAGATTTGGCACTCTCTCTATAGTTCACTATATTGCCAAGCTGCACCAAAAACATTTGATAACTTTAAGCTGTTTAGTAGTTATATCATAAATATGTCTCAAGACAAGAATTTCTTAGTCATTCGCAATTTTTAATAGGTCAGACATTGCTAACAAAACAGCGTGAAGATAGAAAGAACATGATGATGGCCTACAAAGATGAGATGGAGAAGAAACAGGTAAAACGAAATTAGTTTTGACAAAAATACGGATATCTTTAGAGGGATCCAACAATTTACTTTAGTATGAATGAAACGTCCTATAGACTTGTAATTTTGAAATCATATTTAAGATATAAAGTAAAATTTTAAATGTTGGTAACTACTTTGAATTTAAAAAATAAGCAATCAAAGGACCATATTGAAGCAGTATATGTAAAAATAGAAACATTTATACATGTCCTAACTTTTGTTTATTTTGGTTTGTTTTGTAGTTTAGCTATCATAGCTGTGCCCTCTTATATTTTGATGCTTCTCCGCCATGTTATTTTCGGAAAAATTAACATAGCTGAAACTCCCTAAATTACAAAAGGTCACAGCTTTACTGCACATTATACATAACTATCTGAAATATACAAAAGTTAGGACAAGTTTTTATATACTGTTGCAATATAGTCTTTTGATTGCTTATTTTTTAAATTCAAAGTAGTTCCTAACATTTAAAAATTTACTGTAGCTTTGTTTTCCTTGTCATGGATTGCTTTCGTATACCCTGTATGTTTCCTTACTGCATTATGTCCTAATGCTGTTTCACCTGGTATTACCATTTGCCACGTATGTTTACGTTACCTTTTGAATTTGAGTTCTTACCTATTTTATAGATGTCAGGCCGCATCATAGTGAAGGAGGGCACTCCGGGAGAGACTATTGTCAAGTATGCTCGAGATGAGGACGTTGACATCATCATTATAGGTACAAACTAGATACGCCAGTGTACAGTGTGATATAAGAATGCAACACTGGATACCTTAACAACAAATATTGCATTCCATCGACATCAACCACAAACCAAAATTGCCTCCTGTTCATAAAAGCACTATATAAAATTCATTTCAATTACTAGAAGTCCCTGTTGATATTATAAGACATGTAAGATCCTTATTTCTAAAATGCCATCCTTTCCAATGGTATATTAAAATCAGTTCATTCATTTCATCTTTACTTCAATTAAATAGTGCTTCTGTGCGTTTGATCATTGTATTGCATTTACTGTCGGATGTTTCTATATTACATGAATCCTATAATGTAATATAGCATAGGATCTGCACGATTCTTTTTAACCCGTTTTTATGGCAATTACAACTATATATTAAATATGCAGATAATTGCAGGTTGCGGAACAAACAAAGGACGTTCGACAATGGAGTATGTCACCCAGCATGCTAACTGTCCCGTTACCAGGGTCCCTCCTAAACAGGCCATACAAAAAGATGGAGCACTATCTAACCTAGTAAAACAAACTATAACTGGCATATAGACAATCGAAATCATACCAGAACATAACTGAAATGGATAACTTGGAACTAAAAATGTTTGTCTTCGTCAAATCTTTACTGACGATGCAAATTTTACGAAGAAATCGCCCTTCCGTAGAGGAGTCGTAACTTTGCTAATATTGAACCTATCAATTTGAAATAAGCAGGATTAGAATGTGCAATTATTCAAAAACACGGTGATATGCATGATGACTTAACAATATCAATCATGAAATATATTTTTATTTATTTATTTTAATTTTATTATAGTGTCATGAGTTAAAATACAATTACATATATAAAACAATAGTACACTGTTAAAATCACCCCAGGCCCCCTATAGGCCTATAAGACACGTTTGTAAAAACATATTAATCATGTTTTGTAAATAAAATGTTCCCGTCGTTTAAGCATCCGGTCACAGGCTTTGGCAGTGAAGAGACAAATTCTGTCATTAGACATTGAACACTGAAATTTACTCTCTTCATCTAAATTCATGAAACCAGTTACAATAGTAGAAACGTTTGCATACAAGTCTATACGGATGTCTTCATAACGAGAACAGTTCAAGATTACATGTCTCATTTTTCAGAGATTTCAACCAAAAGCCTCGATATATCGCCAGTTCTTTTTTATTATTCTCCCCTATATTTTGCACAATGACTCCCATGACAACCCTCCATCTCTGCATCAACATATTTATTACACTAAACGCACCAATTTCCAAAGGTCCTACGCATCTGTTCGAAATTGATCAAAACGCCCCGTTCTCTTCCAAAACGCCCCGTTGGATCTATACACCTTATCTTGATACACGTTTGTAGTCATAGACTCTGCGGGGCGTTTTGGAAGACAACGGGGCGTTTTGGTCAATTTCGAACAGTTGCGTAGGACTTTTCAAAATTGCTGCGTTTCATGTAATAAATATGTTGATGCAGCGATGGAGGGTTGTAATGGGAGTCCTTGCGCAGAATATGGGGGAGAGTGATAGAAGAACTGACGAGATATCAAGGATTGTGGTTGAAATCTCTGAGGATTTGCAACTTCTCACATCTTGGGACCAAAACGCCGCTAAAACGAGGGGACTTTGTATACAAAGGCAATGTCTCGACTGAAAGGTATTTCTGTGAAGGTTTTAATGGAACAAGTTTGAAGAAAAACGGTGTAGTGTGAAACTCACAATCATTGATTTTCCAAAGACAGGGTAGGTTTGAAATTCAAATTAACGGTATTACGGGGCGTTTTGGGTTCGATACGCCCCGGTGAGTTAGTACCTCGTGGATATACTATACTTTCAACTTTCATAGTTTGTAACTGCTCACAAAAAGTCTCGTTACAGTATTTTCAATGAACTATGAAATCTTGTTGCAATCAGTCAATCTGAGCCGAAGATGCAAACACCTGCAAGCTTACACTCATTTTTAACATTTTACGAAGGCTGTCAGATCAGTAGTAATATACAAAAATCAAATATTTGACCAAATAATAAAATTGAGGGAAAACAAGGGTAAATACAATGTACATTAAAATATATTAGATTGGTTTCACCTTGATAATGGATTCATTGGGTTTCAACAAGAAAAATTACATATATATTTTTGAAACTGTGATAATATTTTACGTACAGTCTACAAGAATTTAAAAACAGAGATTTGTTTAATTCATTTGAATCAATCAAGATAAGATTTAAAATTCTAAGATGTCCTCATCGTTTCAAATGATGACGATTTAAAAAACCTCAATATTCAGGCCAAAATAATGCACCCTTTGAATATCGCAAAATGTTAAAATCACTGTATATTGACTATAAAACGAGCAATTTTATTTTTTTGCAAAAAATCATACTGAGATGACACATTTTTGGGAATATCATACAAATTGAGTCGCATAGACGGTGTATATTTGCTGCCGTGATCCTTTATTCTGTGCGAAAAGCAAGCAATGCTTGATATTGTAATCGTATGTTAGGTGTTAAAACTTAAACTATATAGTATAACGCAGCTTAATTGTTCTAAAACACGCAAACTTAATCCATTTTGTCTGTTGAACAATATAGCATCCAGAGTTGATGATGAACTCGTTGTGGTAGAGGGGGCCATTGTGGTTGGTAATTCTGAAGTCATACAATGTATGTAGCTCATAAAATTCAAGAACATTAAAGTCAGTAAGGCCAAAGAACAATAAGGTGATTATTTTACCTTTCCCAAATGTCGCTTTTTATTAGGGTTGGTAATGTAATTAATGTGAAGCTACTTACTTGAGCAATTTGGCGTGAAACCACTCTCAGACCAATATCCAGATGGACATCTGACCTCAGATCCTTCAAAATACATCGAAAATATAATCCTAGTCCACAGGCGGCATTATGAGATAAAGGGGTTAAAGAGGGAATCTCGCCTTTAATTCTCCTCGTCCAATCAGTGATATCCCGTTTTAATTGCTTATATGATATCTTAGATATATCTTGAGACCAAATTACAGATTTGTATTGCCATTATTTTGGTAAAAATGTAATATACGCGACAGTAACTCTTCAATAATGCGGAGGTTTTGAGCAACTTTGCGAGTATAACATACCAAAACAATATGCATGTCTGCAGCCCAGAGCTTCTGGCAGGTAATACACCCTAAAACTCCCACAATTCTTCACTCGTACCGATATGACGTGTTCACAGCAATTATGCAGATTTGTTGCGCATGCGTTGCACGACTTCTCGTTCTCTTCTGGTGAAGGCAACGAGCCTAGAAGGACAAATTATTTGATGGTCAAGTGCGCGTAGTCTCACTAGATTGTGCATCAGCTAAACTTGTATTGCTTATTTCTTGTAGTGACATATTTTGCAATTTAAATCAAATACACTATGTTAGGTACATTATTTGGTTTATAGTACAGATATTTTTCAATATTCTATCTGAGATGGTGGGCGTTGTCACTTTATGAAAACATATACAATTTGTTCATCTCTCTAGTTCTTATACTAAGACCAAATATCTCTACATCTACCCTTTGGGGTCAGAGCCTGGCACGTCTCTTTTACAGAGAAAGTAATCAAAAAAGAAATCAGCTAGATGTCAAATTGTGAAATAATGTATTTCTATAAAGTTTCCAAACAAATTAAATACTTCTATAACGTTTCCAAACAAATACATCATTTTGACATACTGGAATCTTGAAATGTGGGTTTATCCACGCTATCATAAGATAATATGTCATTCTGTACTAATAACAAATACTTAAGACCTAACTGATTTATTTATGTTCAGATCAATTTAGTTTTATTAGGCGAGATCGATCGATCTCTGTTTAATATCTTTTATCATCGATCAAATAAAATACACAATACATGTTGGGATTATTTAAGACATGGGCATGAATTAGATCAAAGATGAAATGTTGTAAGCAACATATAATTGTAAACGTCTGACAGTTAAAAATACTCTCATCTTCACTACAATTATTCTTTAAGGATTTAAGCCTTGGATTCAGTGCAATGTGGAATGACCATTCCTTGAAGGTGTTTCGTTCCAAAATATGAACGAGATGCGCAGCATCGAGTGTTATTTTTAGGAAACAACGCCTGAAAGGCATGGCCATTCCACAATGCATTGAATCTGGGGGTTAAATTATTTTCACACATTGCAAGATATCCTCTACTATGTCACTTAGAAGATCCGAAATCACTGGTGATCCACTCGATTACACTGGTTACCAAAACGAGCCGTTTCGGTAACAAAATGTCGGAACGTCGATGGTACGATTTGTATTTCATTTCACGCGTTGTAGGTAGAATCCCCACGACGTTTATCAGTATCATATGTTTTAGAAAATGTACATGTTTGCAAAAAAATAGCTCAGAAGAAAACAGAATCGTCGATTTACTTCCTCACTTAAGTTACATTAACGGTTTTGGTTAAAAGTGCAGATCTTAACTGTTTTTCGAAAACCCGTTTATGTAACTTAAGTGAGGAAGTAAATCGACGATTCTGTTGTCTTCTGAACTATTTGTTCGCAAATATGTACAATTTCTTAAACGTATAATACTGATACACGTTTGTGTTAAAAAATGTCGTGGGAATTCTGCCTACAACGTGTAAAATAAGGAAACGAGAAAAATCGTACCTTCGATGTTCCGACATTTCGTTTTGGTAACCAGCGTAATCGAGTGGATCACCAGTGAAAATAGCATATTTTCGATCAAACTTAGCCATTGTCAAGCTGGCAAAGCATTAATGACAATCTGAAGAGTCGAGTTGTTATCTTGATTTAGATGCGGTGGTTGGTGATATGATGCACTGCAGTTATATGAAATACTGTGTTCGGATTGGCTGAAATCGGACACACCTTGCCTAGCTATGTAATGTGTGAATGCACTTTTAACCAACCAAAATTCAGTAATATACATACAATTCAGCCACATTGGAAACACAGTCCCACAACGTCGAGCTGGTACACATTCAGTCGGCATGTCATTTCCCGATGGGCTTATGACTCTATACCATTGGTCAGACCAACTCCCCCTGTCACATAGATCAGTGGATGCATTGTAGTTTACACTTCTTTCTGTTTGGTTCCATAGTATTGTGTGGTTGTCCACCCGACATGGATCTGATATATCATGAAACCACAACAATAATTCCTTCACAATTTTGACGCACCATAAAACATAACAAAAAAAACAATAGCTACTTTTTTGAATCGGATTGTTCTTAATATTATTTAAACTATGTACTATACTTTTGCACAATTTTTAGCTTAATCATTTAAAACATACCTGTCTGCGTCAATTGACTGTTTGTCGAACCTGTGAGAGATAAAAGCGTTAATACTGCAGAGACTAGAGTACCAGCCATGTCTAAGTTACTAATCTACGGTGTACTAATTTGGTGAGCCTCGCATTGGATTTGATTTCCTTTATGATGTCAAATCGACCTAGTGTTTAATAGTAGCCTACTACCTAAGCAGATTTTGACATTCAAATATTTATGCTTGATATGGTGAGAAAATACATTATAAAGTATATATAGTACATTACGGAATTCTGATGATATATCTAGAAAATTGTACAAAGTAGTGCTTCGTGTTCAATAGACGAATCTCATCCCTTCGAAAATGTGTATTCAAGGGCCAGGTGAAATTCAGTCACAGACCATATTCTTTATTGACATGTTGTAGTAAAAATCTATAGTGTTCAAACACTCAAAAGATTATATTGCGTTGGAAAGCCTTAAATGCCATTTTTTCTAAAAATAAGAAAAAAGAGGATTCAAACTTCTCTTCTTCATTTGATCAATTGGTAGTTCATAGTTTTGTGATATCGTAACCAATTTCCTAACATGTATTTTGACATTATTAAAAACACAATAAACAATTATAACTCTCTTATATATTAAATTTGTTAGTTACGTTAGCATCTTTTAAACAGGGAATAAATGAAATTGTTAAGTATCATACCTGTGTTCGGGTTACTAACATAGATCAAATTGAACGATTGATTTACTTCCTGGTTACGCCTTCGATCTTCAACTTCAGAGCCAGTTGTACTCTGGTAATTTATATTAGCACCAAACAAAAATATATACCATTTAATTTATTTCACTTTTACAATTACGATTCAAATGAATTTGAAATATGTTTCACTTGTTTTGACGTATAAAAATGAATGTTAAAATAACCCGTTGCTAAATTCATTCCTGAGAAGTCTGAGGATATGGTGTTTTACCAGAAGAATTCAAAATTGCTCAAATCGTTGTGATGTATTTCTAAATCTGCCTCAGTAAATTGAACATTTATTGGTTCAAAAGTTGCTAAGCTTTCAAATCTTGAATACGCTTTTTTCTTAAATTTTCTTCATAGCACACAGGATAGATCTGCAAAGTACTGAATATTCCACATTTATTACCAAACGAAACCTGGACTTTGAATCTTTCGACAATAATTCTTTGAGTGTTCAGAGAAACTATGATCGTATGTGTCTCATAAAACAATATTTATGTCGAGAGCAGTCTACTCAGAGAAAAAATGAATCATATTTTCGAGAAAAACCTCAAAAACAACAATAAAACTTAAAACTGTCATAAATCTTAGCTTCATGAGGACAATTGATCATCTTAAGTTGAATAAAAACAGATCACTTGAAAGTATTACAAAAAGTATCGTCTCGAGTGGCTGTCAAAAATATAGTTCAGTGGTATTTCCAGCTCCAACACAGGTGCTCTAGAAACAGTACCTGTCATTATTTCATGTCTTTGCCTTTAATACAAGAATTGATTATTAATTTAATTTGCATTTATTCTGAAGATGACGAACACATAACTGCAAAAGGGGGTCTTCATTATTTACTAAGTTATAACATGATCAACTAGTTTGCAGTTGTTTACAAAATATACCTTTGTTTGTTATCGCACTTGATAAGTAGTTCAAAGAATCTTCTTAAAATAGTCAATTTTTCTTCAAAACCTAGATTTATTACGTGCTTGGAGTGAAGTGTGCCGTGTGACTTTTTGCTGGAATTAAAGAATTTAAAGAAGACGGGTGTATGCATTTATATATTTCTATGGTTACAGCATATTGCTTGTTTTCAAAATATACTTTTTGTTTTTTACCACACTTAAGCAGTTCAATGAAGTTTTTAAAAACATATTATTAGAACCATTAGAATCCATTTAAGAACATGGGGTGACGTGTGCCGAGTGACATTTTGCAGCAGGTCACTGATATATCTATTCACTGTGTCTATGGTTACAACATATTTGTTGTTCACAAAATATACCTTTGTTTGGTATCACACTTTTAAAGTAGTTAAGAATTTTTTAGAAATATATATTATTTCTTAGAATTCATTGGTGTGTATCAAAAACAAAAACTGAAATGTTCAAGTCATAGTTTGATACAACTTGTTTGATTGGCCCGCGGAAGGGCTTTTACCAAATGTTCACTTAAAGATGCATTATACTGTACCATAGGTGTCTCGCCCAGACAATCAATGATGTCCCTTTGTTATTGCTAATATAATATCTCGCATACCATGGATATATCTTGAGAATAACTTATGGGTATATGGGTATAATTACCGAAATATTGAAAAAATCAACAGAACAACCAACCTCCAGAATTAAACACAATCGATTACTCGGCTAGCGAGGGGATATCCCCGTTGTGTCACACAAGCACCCAAACGCGCCTTGAACCAAGCAGCCATTGAGGTTCATAATAAACAAATTCAACGACCAATCAGATAACAGGGGGATTTTCCCGGTATATTTAAACGTCAGATTGAATTAATTTCCGTGAAAATAATTAGATCAGCACAATCGCAAAATTAACACTGAAAGCGTGTGATTTGAGACTTCTTCTTTGGTAAGTAGATGGATGAATATGTGGTTAAGCTCAATATGCAAAAATGTCCAGAGGGGTATTGATTGTGCTATCCTAGGGTATAGAGCCTTTTTAAAAGGGGGTCGTTGCAAGCCATAAGGACATTCTGCACATTTTCCATTTTTAAAGGCCAATGTTCCAAAAGTAAATGGGTTAGCGAGGGCTTGTCATGAATTTCTCATATTGTCTCTACGTATCTTTTCCTTTCAAATACATTATGTTGAGCTTCACAGAATGTACAATAAGCAATAACTAAACTATGGTATTGAGTGTCATTCTTTTGCCCCGGGTCCCCTGATTTTGGTCACTATGGAATTCATTTCTAACCATATATCTCCATCGTACTAATTATTGCTGGGTTTCTATTCCTTGTACAGTGTACTTTCTGTGAAGAACTGAAATGAATGAATAACAAAGAAATTGGACAGGTATTATGAGAATTCGCGATCACTTGTATTATTGAGAACCAATATGGCTCAATCTTATTTTAACTCACCTATGAGGGTTTCACATGATTGTTACGTTTTCAAACCTCCTCTTATGCTGCTAAATGGCCGTAAAATAGGAAATAAATAACACTTTTAGATATTAAAACAAAAATGAACTTTGAATGACATTGTATTTCACTTCATGATTCGAAGAATCGCGCAATAAATCAATTAATATAGCTAACGACAAAGTTATTTTGCTTGTGTCAAATTGTTTTTCAGTGGAGTAAAAGTATTTTGCAAGTGACCCTATATCTCAAAAACAATTTTGAATCACGTCATCAAATTTGCAACAATTAAGAAATCAATCGACTGTTGGAATTTCAAATCCTGTAAAAGGTGACTTTTTTGTGACGATACGATTTGCTCCGCTAGACCCTTACTTCTATGACAACCGCAATTGTCCCAAATATCAACATTTATCGGATCTGATTGGTCAGTTCTTGTGCTGTACCAATCTGTTTTGCTCCTGAGATTGTCCCCATTGATCATCCCGGTAGCAACAGAAATATTGGTTCCGATGGGACAGTCCCAGTAGCAGTACGGAGAATACAGAATATTCCTTGGGGAATATCTCCTAATGGCCTAAGATCACACGATAAAAACGTTATGCAAAACAGGATATATTCGCCTCGTTTCAACACCTAATTTCTCCAGCAGAATATATCCTGTATTGCACTTCAAATCATTCAATAACTTATAATCTCAGCCAAATTTTCAGAATGGTTGGTGAAATGTATCATGCTACTTCTAAGATAGTTGTTGAAAAATAAAAGTTATAAAACTAGCTTAATTTACTGAAAGACCTGTAAGATTATCCGCACTTAACTAAACAGAGAGAAATAGTATTATTTAATGATCACCTTACCCAACCGGAGTAGTAAATTTTAAATATATTACTAATAACGGTTTTGAGGATGATTTATGATGAAGTTCATTACCAAAAAGTATAGGCCTAGGTTTGCATTGTACTCATATATAAATCGATCAAATGTGAATTTGTATCGATCATGTATAAAATTATATATAGTTTTTAATGATGTACATCTCATCAGACTCGCGTTACCTTGATAACCACAATAAAATATTTGTGAGGTAGAGAGTAACTTGCAAAATGTATCGATCACGTCTTGTACAATATGAATATGCAGGTTTTAGACGGTCATAAATTTGATCCAACTTCGAGTGTTACTGGGTAATCCAAAACTGATGTCACCGTGATATGATTCATTATACAGGATGGTCCAAAAAAATGGGACACTCGTATGTCGAAAACATGTCATATTTTATACTAGTAGATAGGGAATTTATTCATCTTTAATTTGGTATATCATATGTTCAAATTTATTATAATGTCTATCAACCAGCGTCCATAATATAAATGACGTCTTTTTTGTTTCAAAACGGGTAAACGTAAACATGAGACATCTATTGATGGTATAAAAAAGAACGTTGTTGTAACGTGTCCGTAAAGTTCGTTAGTGTGGAAAACATAACAAACAGGAACGTTTGATTTTTTATTACATTGGTCCATATGTGACGTAACTCAAACGTTAAAATTCAACGTTGTCAAAACAGGCTTTTAATATCAAAATATTTGTTGGTGGAAAAAAAACATGACAAAAACTTTGTGTTCTCACTTAGTCGGTTCATTTCCGACGTATTGTTAACGTTAAAATTTAACGTTGTCGAAACGTTTTTTCGATTTGAAATAACCTCAAAACGTGACGTCAATAATGACGTTCATGGACCGTATTGATCTGACGTTATTTAAATATTCAGCAAAACGTCGATGGATGGTTGAATTTCAACATTGTGGAAATGGCTTCAAATTATTTGTGAGCTAAGGAATCGTTACAAAGGCGCCAATATGTTCTCATTAAATCGGTTCATTAACGTTATTTTAACGGTAAAGTTAACGTTGTCAAAACGTTCTTACGATTTGAAATAACCTCAAAACGTGACGTCGAAAATAACGTACTTGTATCGTTCAGATCCAACGTTATAAATAAAAAAAATCCTAACCCTGCTAGGAACGTTAAGTACCCGGTCACCCGGTTACCCGGTTACCCGGTCACCCGGTTTTTTACACAAACACTTATTGTCAACTTTATTTACATAAACAGATGTTCAATATGTCCACCATTTTGATCAATTGTAGCCCTCAATTTTGGCCTGAATTGGTCAATAGCATCATTGATATGCTGTTGAGACAATGAATTTCACTTCTCAATAATTCTGTCCTTAAGGGACTGAATAGATCTTAAGTATTTACGGTATAACAATTCTGCCAGTCCTCCCCATACGTGGCAGTCGCAGACATTAGGTAATCGGGTAATGTAATGATTCGAAAATGAGCTCATATCAGTATGGTCTAAAAACAACATAATCGGATCATCCGATGTCAACGTCTGCGACTACCGCGTATTTATGACATGTTTTCCTCAAGAAAATCAATATTCATTTTTGAAATACGAGTGTCCCATTTTTGTAGGACCACCCTGTAATTATAGATTTGTATTTAAACTGTATAATGATTGATGGATATTTTAACTATAAAAAGAAAGTGTTCGGCGTACACCTCATTAGAATTTGGGTTTGAACAGACACCTGGAACATCGGTGAGCGTTTTTACAATTACGTTAACAAAATCTTGCATCTTTCGAAAATTTAAAAATTTAGAAAAATATAGATGTATTAAGCAGAAGTGATTTGTTGAATTACATGTGCAGTTCAGCTAAAATAATTCTAAATAAGTTCATCTGATTAGTCCTACTAAATTACTATTATATTTTCCTTTTGCCTAAACCATACCTTTTTTACTAGAGGAAAATATAATAGTAAGCTAAAATAATGGTAAAATAAAGCAAAGCAATACACAGAATTGTTAATGATTTGATTAAAGGGCTTGATTCTGTTTTTAAATAATAGAAATTATGTTTAACCAAGAGACGCATATGAGGAACATATTACCAAACATTACCCAAATAACGCCATGAAAAGGACAAAACTGCATGGTCAACGATTGTATACTTTAATGCACTTTGCAACATATACGTGTACTTGGACATTTTCTTTTTCTCCATTCCAAATGTAATTCTATAGAAATAGCATGATGAACATTAAAGTTGGAATCCAATTTTGATATGATATACTTTTTTAAGTAATTTATTTTTGCGTTTAGTTTTTGCTTACGTTCTAAAACGGAGATCATAATTGGCTGAATTGAAATAATGAAATATAATTGATGTTTACATTTATAGAAACTCTCGTATTTTGTATCCACAGCTACATGGTCACGATGAGGCGGGCTTCCCCGATGTTGCTGCTTCTTCTTATTCTTCTAAATGTTACACTCCAATGTATTGGTGAGGAACTTCCATTGTGTAAGTGCTTGTACGTTATTTTAGATAATGCAATACGCAATCGACTCAAAGTTTCCTAATGGCATATATGATAGAAGATTGGTAAAGCTCTGGACTGAGGCTTATATTGAAGTAGCCATCCTTCCGATGTATTTCTCTGTAGGTCAGTAGAACAACAGGGAGAAATTTAAAAATGTCTCACATTAAGTGCTTAAATGAATACATCGAGTGCATATCCAAACTGTCTGAAAAATCAACTATCGTTTTTTTAATTTTAGGTTCGGGGAAATTTCGAAATAAGAAAAAGAGATCAATAACGTCAGGTAAGTACAACTTTTGTATATGAGTGCTTACAGGCAGGTAAATTTGTTGTTTTTCGAAGGCCGTATATCCATAACAGAATGAAAGGGGTTCAATAAAGAGTTACACCCTTTGGAAACGGGGTCCTAAAGCTACACTTCACCTTGTCTACCCGATAACCGTATATTTCTTAAACTAATATATTTTTTGCAAGATTTCCAAAGATTTCGACGATCGCCTTTGGCCAAATTTGACCCATGTTTCGACCACATCACACTTCAAGACGACGGAAGAAGAAGCAGTAAAGTTAAACTTGAAGAAGATGATTTACCGGTATCTGACCAAGATATGACAGAGGGGTGGTATCTATTAAAAAGTCCTGCTGGTAATTATATATCTCGAGATGACCGTTTGGACCTTAGATCTTGTAGCACCTCCTACCCCATTTGGTTAAAAGGTAGGCACATTTATGATTCATTCAGTATTTTCAAAATACCGTAATTGATACACCATCCATTAAAAACATCCTAATTCCAGCGAAAAATCTCGATGAGTTCGTTTTGACTATTAAATCATGCTCATACATATACACACGATATTTAAACATTTGATTTTGTGAACTCAATATTTCGAATAGCCATCCCATCATAATTATTAAGAAATATTGTTTGTAAATTACACGAACATATGTTTTAGAACCAAAAGTTGATCCCCTGGTGGGAGACGTTGTACAAGGAATTGCATGCCAATCTAGCCGGACAAGATATTGTGCCAAAGAGATTCCAATCCATGTAAAAACCTGCGCCCCAACTGGACATATCAATGAGCCGTTTGTTGTGTATTATTTAACAGCGCCCACTATTGACAAAGCTGCGTACTGTATAGGTGAGAATGCTTTGACATTTTTTTATCAATAATACCCTGTTGTAGCTACCAAAAGTTCATACAAAAGAGCAAAAGCTTGGCCAAATAAGGCAATGAGAAAAAACAAAATTGCATGGTCAACGATTATATTATTCTATTCACTATAGGAGATAAAGCTAGATGTGCTGAAGGTACTGGATCAATAACTGGATTTGAACCCTGTAGAACTGGTAAGTAATAATATTTATGTGTAATACTGATTCAAAGATTCAAATGTTTATCAGTGTGTTTTTTAAAATTTTAATTCCTTCTGTATCCCCACATACACTTTTGGGTGATGCATACTAGAGGTACCATAGGCTCAGTCTTTTTTAGATGTATTGGTCTTAAATAACGTACTTACAGAATTTTATTATTTGGTATTATAATTAATTTAACCTTCATTACAAAATTTAAGGTGAATTTCCTAAGTCTCTACCAGATCCGGTGGTAAACTACAGAACGCATCTTTGTGAGAGGGATGGAGATAGGACAGCAACGTATACGGCAATTGTGTTTACATGTGCTGTTAATACACACGAACAAGGCATAAACTTTGATGTGTGGTGGTATATGGATGACCAAAGGGTGAAAGAGGAAAGAAACATACCAAAACATAGAATGCCAGCTAAATTATATGAAGACGAATGGATTCCAATTCGGGCTCAAGGAGAGAAAGGAATGGGTCAAACGGTTGGTATATATCCAGATTACTACTTTCTCTTCAAGGGGGAATAAGAGATAGTGGACGACAAAATTGAAAATAACATGTTCATTTGGCCTACTTGTGTTATGTCTTCCATCTCAGATTGAATTTGTTATCCAAAAATAATGGTATTTCAGTTAGTATTTAAGATTCTAATTGCGAAAGTGTTTTAGTTTTATCGAATAAAAATGTTGATTTTGCATTCGTCCATGGAGTGAGGTTTTCATGGGCATTGAATAGACTGAACAACATTTCCTTGAATAATGTCTATTAATCCATGTATCATTGTAGATTCACTGTAGAGTCTCTGGGAAGTATGCTGAAATAGGCGTCGCCGGTCCACTAAAGATAAGTCAAAATTTGGAAATAGGGTTTGGGGTAAGTTTTCTTTAATTTTACGCTAACAAGAAAACTAGATACAGAACATGTAAATGTGTAAATGTACATTACCCTCAAAACCGCTATATGAGCTATATCTTTGAAAGTAGGATCACACAAATCATTTTTGTGATGTATGTAATATATGTAACGATCAATCTTTACAGTATTTCCCAAACAGAACGCCATCAATTAATAATGACTGTCACAATTATTAATAGCGCTGCTAAATTATTCTTTTAGAGGTAGAATGAGCGGTCCTTGGGATGTAGTTGTTCAATGATTCGTAGCATCACAGAGATATAGCTCATTGAAATAATCAAATGTGTAGATTATCCCCCTTTTAAGGGTTTCGTTTCATTACATACTGCTTCAGATAAGAACAACACGTGCATTTATGTTTAATATATACATAGTTCTGTCATATAGACTATAGTCTGTGTATAAAAATGAAAAAGCGTTAATATTACAATGGTTTATTGTATTTGATACATGAGCAATAGCAAATAATTTCTTGTGTAGATTGACGTAAATACAAGGGTCATAAGGGTGACTGAGAATCAAGAAAAAAACAAGGATACAATAATAGTTCGACCACGACTTCCCATTCTTTGCCCCCCTGATGTGGAGGACGAGAGTGAGTGCGACTTACAAATAGAACTACGTGCTCCTGATTATGCTAAACATAATGGGAAATGTTCTGCTGATGACGACAACAGACAGATTGTTTTTCCGGGTCATAGATGCCGAAAATATATTGAATATGATAGCGTAAATTTCAACGTTAAGAAGAACACGCTTATAGACATCCAAGCTGTTACAGATGGACGAACAGACGGAGATTATGATGGCATCATTAAGTTTGACATTCGTGTACACCATAACCATCCAGCCTGGAACTATTACAAGTTTCCACCAATACAGGTAGATAAGCAGAGCACAAAATGGTCTGATTGTAATGGTCCTTTAGGCTCATTGAAGATCACAAAACAAATTAATTGAAACGTATGGACTTTTCCTCTATACTTAAAATGTATTCCTAGATAATATACACATTTAGTTTATGATTTATATCAATTACAACATTGTAATATATGACGTTCTTTACAGATAACAGTTGTGGATGAGACACCGAATGTGGTTGGAAAAATATGCAGATCAAACAATGATCCTCACATGAAAACATTCGATGGGAGGTATCTATTGTTAGTCACAGAAAACAGAATAAAGTAGTTGACAGAGGAGCCAATAAATATCATTGCTTTGTATGCACCTGATTATAAAGTATCTAAATAATTTCAATGTTGCGCTTTAATCGATAAAGTCAATAATGTTTTTGACACCCTAATAGATAAGATATAATATAATTAAGGAATAACATTGCATTAAAAAATGTTAATGCACAATCTGTTGTAGGAGATTTGAGGCCCATGTCCCAGGCGAGTACGTTATGTACCAAAACAGAAAAATGTCTCTCCAGGTTGGTCACATATAAATCCTTAAAAATCAGAAAATTATTATCATTATTCAGTCATTTCAGATAGTAATGCCCCAATCGGTTTTCAGAAAATGATAAAAATAAAGTTTCTCCGTTTCACTTCATACCTTGTCATTTCATGAGATTATGTGTCTACAGCATAATACTAAAAAATTGGCTTTTAGACTTTTTTGGTTTCGTAGTAATTTTGATGTGAAATATGTGGTCCAAATCTAAAGTTTTTGTGCCATTTTAAATTACGTTATAGGTACCATCTTAATAGACTAGATGCGAGTAGAAATAATCTTGATTTACGTCATTAAATATTCAAAATTCAGTCAAAGTGATGTCATATTTGAAATCTGCATGTAAAAGTACATCTAGAAATATGGTTTCGAAAATTGTATATCAACTTTGAAAATCTAATTTTTTTTGAAAATGTGACTTCTTGTTCGGGTTGATTCCCCATAGACCCCATGTTACAAAATCACAAAAAGTGAATTATCTTTTCTTGTATTGGACAGATAACATTTTCTTTTACTGGACATATTTTAATTTGCATAACTATTAGATACATAAGGCCTATATGAAAATTGAACCACTAAAACAGATGTAATTTAAGTTAAAAGGAACTTTCTACTATACCCGCCATGCTATCTGACCCGAACGAGCCACCTGGTGGTGAATCTGGTAACTACCTACTCGCATCTGCGTTATTGATTTGAATACTTCTTAATTTATGACAGTGCTACCAAATAAAATGTTTTCTACCTTAAAGTACAGACATTAGGGCACCGATACTTATCAGGAGGATTAATGATTGTTGGCTTTTGAACTTTTTTGCTCAATTACAAATATTTTATATGTTTGTCCTTAAAATTGTAATTTTCATAATGTTTGTCAGTCATTCATGTTTGTCAATCATTAAGTGTAAATCTTTTGTGACCATTGCCTCGGTCTAATACTTTTTAGCAGAGCAAAGGAGTATATCTCTGCATTGTTAAACACTAATATTGGATACTGTCATGGTTATCTATTTGTAAAAAAACTCAAGCATTGAACATGCCTATATTGTAACGTAGATTAATTGCTGGGAACTGACATTTTCAATTCAATCAGTTGTACAATATAGTGGTTTCCAAAGAATTAGCTTGGTCCGTTTTAAATATAAGAGAAACTCGTTTTATGAAAACACACTATGTTCATGTAAAATATAGCATTTGCGTACTATATTTAAACAAATGGTAACGTAGACTAACATCATATAGAACATCAGCTCCATGTGTCATTAAATCTGATCAAGAAGACATTTCAATGAAAAAACCAAACCAATCATTACATTTTGTGAATAACAATGGTGCTAAATGTACTTGGTATATAGACCCCTCATCCTAGTACTGAATCAGCAAATTTTGGTAACGCTTGTTAAGAAACGGTAGAGTCGTCGTCATTAGATAACGAGAGCAAATATATTGTTCAAAGTCTATGCAAAATGTAAACTTCTTATAACAACTTTATCACTCGTCAATTCAACATCTCTAGAAACGTCGCTAAAACAGTACTGTCACCGTGAACTAGTAAATGTTTACAATAAAACATGTTTTCAAATCATATCTCAGTGTCCAAAATCACACATCAGACGTCATTGTCTCTTGATTCAATTTTTGGAGGCAAATAGTTCATCATCAGTTCAGGTAATCTTTCAGGTAACTTTAACTTTAGCATTCTCCCACTTGGGAATCAAAGCCACTATTTGGCAAAGAACGTTTGCATGTTCTACCCAGAGTACATGTTCTGGCTACCCAGAGTACATCTGGTGAAGGCCACTAAAAATACCCCCGTCTGTTAATCATAAATGATGTTTCGTAGCACGCCATCCACATTAACTACTTTTCCAAAGTACCAAGCACCATCATAGACTGAAGCAGTATAATTTTCAATCATGTACATAACAGCTGCTTCATTATCATAGGGTTCGTCTGCGTCACTGCGTCAGGGGTTCATTTTTGCACTTCATGAGGCAAAGCAGGAAACAAACGTTTTTAAGGGGCGGGGGTGTGGTATACCCGATGTATGTGGTATCGCTTAATGTAATGGTGTAACGAAAACATTTTTGAAAAAATTGATATACCTGCACATACCTGTATGATGGCATTTGTGCATTTCCTTGTTTTTCAGGAAAACATTATCATATTATCTTCTTTTGATAAACTTTGTAAAAGGTCCATGGTAACTCAAGTTACTACAGAAATTTTGAGAAAACATTGGAAAATTGAAAAGACGTCCATTTTGAATGTTTTTCATGAAATTTCAGCATTCCCTGGAGTTAAGATTTACCTCTTACCCGACTCAATAAAAGAAGACACTTTGACGATACTTTCCTGAAATTTCTACATGCCTTCATACTTTATTTTGTACAAGAAAAAAAAGAGCAGGTATTGCAATTTTTTCAAAAATGTTTCTGTTCCACAATTTCCTTAACACGCGCCCTTTCTTTCTGTACGTTTTCCCCTCTTTTCTCCTTTCCATTCAATATAGGCTTTTTGAATCACTGCTTTTGATTTACCCATTTTCTGAGAGAATGTTCCCCTGTTTGAAACTCTAAATCAAGTCAGAAAAGGATTGACAATCGTTTTAAGTAACGACCCGAACATAACGTAATTTATCCAACATTTAACATCGAATTTCACCAAATATATTTCAAATTGAAAATTTTGTTCTTGCACCACAAATACCAAGTTTCTAATGAATGATGCGCTTCAAAATTATTATCCTAAAATCATTTAAATGTTCTTTACTGAGATTGTAAATGGAGTTTGGTATTTACTTACATATTTTCAACTATTTTGATGGAATTTAGCCGATTGTCAGAGATAATACACAGCTTTGAGTCAACATGGCGCCATAGCGCACCAAAACTAACCATGTGACCCATTGTCATTGTGCTTGTACTTATATAACAAGTCAAATGGGATTGTTTCGTAAAAAAAGACTCACGTAGTTTAAGGTAACGTTATTTAATATTTGTGACATTTTAATGCGAATCAATTATTAATTCACTACTAACTGACACAGAAGGGTCTCATATCAAGTCATCAAAGGCTGTAGTACAACATATGTGGAAAACGGTGCCTTCGTTCTTTGATTATGTTGGATATTTGGTAACGTAGTTTAAAGTCCTTATCCATACGTTTCAAAAAATATTTTTTGACAAGTCACAAATGAAATATCTTGGTCAATAGATTGAAATTCTGTATATTTTTATGCTTTTTTATGTTTATGTTTATTTATTATTTAAAATACACACAAAATACAATATATGAACTGGGTGACACTTTAAAAAGTGTATATTCCCAATATTAGGCAAAAATAATACATGTGTGTTGTCATACCTATTAAATGCAGTTGGGGACCTGCCTATGTATTCATCTATTTTAACGAAAGTATTGATTTGTCACATCATAATAGACCAAATGAGATAACGTTTTGGCATAATGTCAAAAGTGTTCTTGAATACAATTATACCAATTAGTGCAAATATACTTACAATGTAGTTTGAACATTATTTGGAACAGAGGCAAAATCAGGGGGTACAGCAGAGCTTAAAGGAAATATAAGTCAGTTTAGTAAAAAAAAAAACAACAACAACAAAAAAACACAAAAACAACATAACTGTATGTGATTGAAATGTTACCATATGGGTCAGATATACTGAGCAATCATATTGAGAGCAGTTTTGTTCTTCGAAGAAACCAAAAAGAGCATCCAAAAGAGCATACACGAGAGAAAGCATGATGAGGGCAATGGGTGATAAAGAGACAGCAAAATATCAATTGAGTTAGTATGTTTCCAGAAATAGTTTTTTTTAGTTCTCTTTTAAATGAATAGAGGTTTTTTATTTGTTTAAGTCTTTCTGGTAATTTGTTCCAAAGCTAGGGTATTGAAATGGATATAGATGATTTACCATAATTAGTGCAAAATTTAGGTTGATCATAGGTCATTCTATTTCTGGTGTTATAAGGATTTCTTTCACTAACTGTTGTAAAGAGACGAGGGTATATACTCCTATAGTTATCTAAGTCATTTTTCCATTTGAACATAGATATACATTTCGCTTGCTTATTAATGTCAAAAAAAAGTAGTAAGTTTTAACATTTCAAAAAGTGGAGAGGAATGTGCTCTATAGTCACTATTTGTTGCAAGACGTACAAACCTTTTCTGGGACAAGTGAAGTGGATTTATTGATGTAGTATTTGCATCCCCCCAAACAAGATTACCATATATTAGATACGAATAGATCAAAGAGTAGTAAATACTTGTAAACCCTTGAATGTTTAAAATATGCTTAATCTTGTACAAAATACCTATGGTCCTTGACATTTTCATATTAACTGAAGATATGTGATCTTTCCATGTCAAATGTTGGTCAATTATAATGCCTAAAAAACTGATCTTTGAAACTTGTTCGAGTTTATTGTCATTGAGATATATCTTGAAGTTACTTGGATCATAGTGCTTCTGTCTTGATGTAAAAATGATGTATTTGGTTTTAGAAATGTTTATAGAAAGTCTATTAGTCACCAGCCATTCTTCAATATGTTTTAGCTCGGTGTTCAATATATCATTGAGTTCATTTAGATTTTTGCCATTTATCAATATATTAGTGTCATCTGCAAAAAGAACAAAAAACAACTTTGGAGATGATAAGTATATGTCATTAATGTAAACAATGAAGAAAATGGGACCTAGTATGGAGCCTTGAGGGATTCCACAGTTAATGGTATTTGGCTCAGAAATAACATCTTTGTATGAAGTTCTTTGAATTCTATTTTTGAAATAACTTTTTACCAAATCAAGTGATACGCCACGTATACCATAAAAATATAATTTTTGAAAAAGAATTTCATGGTCGATAGTGTCAAATGCCTTGGAAAAATCTAAAAATAGGCCAATTGAGTATTCTCCGAGATCAATAGATTTTCTTATTTTTTCAACAAAATTTA